TTCCAAAATTAATAATTAAAATGTTTTATTATTGGATTGCCCGTTGATGTTATAGTACTAGTGCCAACTTAAAATACGTTTCTTAGTACAGAAAAGTAAGATGCGTTAGTAACACAAATACGATGCATTTCAAATGCAATAATAAATATACAGTGAGAGTCGAATTTTAACTTTCGTTTCTCCCAATATAATACTATTGCCAACTTAAAATACGTTTCTTAGTACAGAAAAGTAAGATGCGCTAGTAACACAAATACGATGTATTTCAAATGCAATAATAAATATAAAGTCAGATTCGATTTTTAACTTTTGTTTCTCCCAATATAGTACTATTGCCAACTTAAAATACGTTTCTTAGTACAGAAAAGTAAGATGCGTTAGTTACACAAATACGATGTATTTCAAATGCATTAATAAATATAAAGTAAGAGTCGAATTTTAACTTTCGTTTCTCCCAAAGGTTGGACAATAATGAACAGAGCCTATATAAAAAATCGTAATCCTAAGGGACAGACGCCTTTGTTAGATCCCATTTTCCGGTAAATGTTTTTCGGAAATCTCCTGGCTCCCACCCATTTTCCTGCCAAAATGTTTTCTTTTACTTTCCTATACGCTTATTCATTTCCTTAAGAAAACAATGGACGTGTCTGGGCACATGAGAGTCGGATCCCAATTCCTGAGACGACGGAAAATGTAAGTTTTTTTTTATTTTTACCTTTTTTTTTTTGAATCACTTTCTTTCATATCTTTTGTTCTATCCTTTCATTTCATAAATCACAATTGTTTGCTTTATATGCTTTTGTATTTTCTATAACTGATGATTTATTCTCAAATAAACTTATTTCAATGATGTATTATAACGAATAAAATTGCAGAATCTATAAAGAATCTGCTTACTTTTTTTTATTTTAATGTAAACAAATACAATTTTTCTTTGTCAGAATTCTTATTTTTTCCTTATCATATTACAACTAGATATATTTTTATATTTTTAGAAATACTAATGATATTTATATTTTCCTACTGGTTATAAAAACTTTGATAACTTAAAAAAATAGAATTTTATGCAATGCAGGAAATAAGTTGCAGATAGTGAAAAAATAAACTATTATAATAAAAATGATCTAATTAAGGAATTTTCACAAATTTGTTAAAGAGAAAATTGACACAACCCAACCAATGTTTGTGCCAATAACTTCTAAATAGGGAGAAAATAATTGATATTAATCTGGAGGAGGGCCAAATGTTAAGCTTTTTGCAAAACCTAAGTTAATACTTTACCTTAAAGAAATCGGATTTTATAATTCGATGTAGTTTAAAGTTTTAAATTAACCAGTTATATTGATTTTAGCCAAGTTACTTCAATTTTATTCTGGTTGTTTTGATTGCAACCAAGTTTCTTCCAAAAGACAGTATTTTAACTGTTACTTCCAGACTTTAGCAATTTTACTTGGAGACACACCTCATACTGAATTAATACCTTACCTCAAAGACAACGGATTTTATAATTCGATTTAGTTCAAATTTTAATAAATTGACCAGTTTTTACCGGTTATATTGATTTTAGCCAAATTACTTAAGTTTTAATTTGGTTCTTTTGATTTTAACCAAGTTTCTTCAAAATCAACCTTGCGTTTGGAATTTAACCAAGTTATATAAATTTCAACCTAGTGATTAAATTTTAACTGTTACATGAACTATTAACATAGTTTTAGGCGCGGTATAGCCAAATCATGGCTCTTGCTCCAAAAATTTATAACACTCACTCACTCACTCCTTATTTCGCTACATTTAACATAAACATTTGAATCGGTGTCTAAACTTATAATCCGTTTTAGAATATTTTCTTGTAAATTACATCAGTGGACTAATCGTTAAGACACGGTTCCCAGCAGATCACCGAAGTCAAGCATCATTGGCTGCGGTCAGCGTGCGGGTGGGTGACCACTTGGATCAGTCTGTGTAGGGACCGAGAGTTTGCGGTATTGGTCCTCGTTAAACTGTTCTACCGTAAAGTGCTCGACTTCGCGTGCAGGTCGTCGGGCTACCAAAGCGGAGGTGCTATCCCCTCTGCAGAGGATCAAAATTGTGATGGCATGTCTTCGGATCATCCTCAGGAATGTTTCCGGGAAGCGTAAATATGTGAATAGTTAGAAAGTTGAATAGTTAGGAAGTGAATAGTTTGAATTTTCGTAGAAAAAACTGTTGTATGCCAGCACTGCTAAAAACTGCGGATTTATGAACCTATTTATTAATTAACCTAAATATAAATTACAATTGCTTACAATACTCCAGGTTCCACTCTTAACCCCTGCGATTGCTTCTTACAATTGTCTTTTTCATAAAGGTTGAACTTTTTAAGACAGCTAACAATATTTTGTTAAAAAAAATGAATGTGAAATTAGTGCAATTTTATGTAACAATTTGTTCCTAGTTTAATCATAATGAAATGAACAGTTATCCGAATTGGGAAAAAAAATTAAACAGACAGAAATTTGTTTAATAAAAAATGTGTGCTACAATAAAGAGAAATAAATAAGAAGTAATCTTTCTTGTTAACGATAACCTTACATAATTATATCAGTTCTATTTGGAAACTGTTTTGCTTTCTCTTGAATTAAGTTTATTATATTTATAAAAATTTCAGTATAAACGTTAAGATATAAATCTAACATCTAATCTTTCACTATTTTTACTTTTTTTTATTACTTTTGAGATCAACTCCTCAAGTTTATTAAATAAAGTTTTCGAGTAAGCTTAGTAAAGCTTTTTACAATAATGGATAAGTCATTAAAGCTAAAAAAAGTGATAAAAAATTTGCGAGAAAAAGCCCGAATCACGAGAACTGTCAAACAAATTAAAATTAAAAAAAAAAAATCTCATCCAATCTATATTATATAAAACGCTAATACGTATGTATCAATAAAACTGATGATATTTCTTTTCTCGCGTTGGCAACAGTTTTCATTTTTAATTGATAGGATTCGGCGCGGGGGTTGGCGAGCGCCAGCGAGCAGGGGGCGAAGCCTCCTAGTCTATCTATATTATATAAAACGCTAATACGTACGTATGTATCAATAAAACCGATAATATTTCTTTTCTCGCGCTGGCAACAGTTTTCATTTTTAATTGATTGGATTCGGTGCGCAAGAGCACGTAGTGAGCATCATATGGCTAATCCATGTTATATAAAACGCTAATACGTTTTAATTGATAGGCTTCGGTGCGCAAGAGCACGTAGTGAGCATCATATGTCTATCTATCTCTGATTGTCACCGAGAAAAAAACGGTTGGTTGGTTATGAGTACTGAAATAGTTCCTTTTCATTGGCAGAAATGAGAAGTGTTATGCTATTGCTATTTTATTTTGAATTATTTTGAATTGAGCGCTTCACTATTCCACGTTTTGTTATATTATCTTTACATCCGGCGTTCAGTGGCAGACTACTATTTCATATTGTTTTACAACACATGGCTTTAGCCCTTTTGTGGGAAAGACTTTAAAACAAAACTTACAACAGTTACTTTTCTCAACAACTGAAATTTAGAATAGTGTGATTAAGAAAAATATGTGAACTGTTTGCAATTTCAAATTAATATTGAAATGCACAGGTTTAGAATTTTCTACAGTGAAAAGTTTTCGGAACTTCAGTGTTCTAAAAAGTATACAAAAGCTAGACGTTAAGAACGTATCCAATGAGCGAGTAAAGCGAGCATCGGATTGCGAAGCAATCCGAAATGACATGCGAAAGCAGTTCCGGGGGTTGGCGAGCACCAGCGAGCAGGGGGCGAAGCCTCCTAGTATTATTTTATTTCACATTCGAAATTATTATCACAAACTATTTAACACAGTGTAAAATAGGTAATTAAACAACTTTTAATCAAATTTTTTTCATTGTGTGCCGTCAAATTTCGAAATCGTTAAAAGTGTGCCGCAACAAAAAAAAAAGGTTGAGAATCACTGTTCTATAATATCAATGTCTTTTCAAAGTGCCACTGTCCAGTATGCATTTAACCGGTACTCTGAACACTGATGTTTCTCCCAATATATTCTCAGCAGATATTAAAATATCTAATAACTATGATAGTATCAACGAATAAATTAATATCAGATCGGGTATAACAAATATTTCGAACATTCAACAAAGCGACTATATGATTGTTGACATTCACCTTTGAAAGTCGACATTCTCTTAATTTCTGCCATTCACGGTAACATATACAATATGTAATACAACTTTGAAATTTGTAAATTGTGAAAGAACTCCCTTTCTATACATGAATCTTTCTGTCACAAATTGATGAATTCTGAAGGATCAACATTTTGAGTGGAGACATTGAACATTTTAATAAAAATTCTGTTTTTTAGAGTCTTTCCGTGTTGAACTATTTTTTCATTAAGCAATTTTAAGGAAAAAAAAATAGTGCCTGGAGTCCCTCCGCGCGGAAGAAGTTAAACTTCGCAACCTGCGACGTTAATTGTAGAAGAATCAGCAGTCGTAGAAGGATCACTAGTATTATATAAAACGCTAATACGTACGTATGTATCAATAAAACCGATGATATTTCTTTTCTCGCGCTGGCAACAGTTTTCATTTTTAATTGATTGGATTCGGCGCGCAAGAGCACGTAGTGAGCATCATATGGCTAATCCATGTTATATAAAACACTAATACGTTTTAATTGATAGGCTTCCGTGCGCAAGAGCACATAGTGAGCATCATACAGGGTGCGTTCTGAAAGTAATGCGCATGATTTTATTGTGACGTGACTATTGATCGCAGCACACTCAGATTGGTCAAAAAATGTGGTGGGGGATTTGTCCTTCCAAACAAGCCTGGTATCAGGTCGCTTCGAGCAGTAGGAGTGGTAGGACGTGTCTTCGCGCAAAGTCTTTTTTTCGATCGAGTCATGGCGTGATGGAGTGTTCGTTCGCTGGAACAGCGGTACGCGATAAAGTTTTGTGTGCGACTTGGGAAGAATGCGACGGAAACTCACCTCATGCTTCAAGACGACTTTAAGGAGGAATGCATTTCGGGATCTCAGTGTGGAAGGTGGCACAAGGCCTCCAAGGAGGGTCGGGAGATGGTCACCGACGAGCCTTGTTCTGGACGCCCAACAACAGCCCGACCCGATGAAAACGACCAGCATGTGCGTGAAGTTTTGAAGTCAGACAGTCGGTTAAGCATTCAGGTAATCGCTAACACCCTAAACTTGTCAAAATGTCGGGTACATGGGATTATGACGGAGGATTTGCAAATGCGAAAGGTCTGTGCGAAGCTTGTGCTGAAGATGTTGACGGAGGAGCAAAAAGAAGTTCGAGTTTTGAGCAGTGAAGAATTGATGGAATTGATGAGTTGCTGCCCCAGCCTCCCTATCGCCCTGACTTGGTGCCTTGTGACTTTTTCTTGCTCCCCCGACTGAAAAGAGAGCTGAAGGGAGAGCACTGGGAGTCGGTGGAGAACATCCAAGCTCATGTTACAAGGTTCCTGAGAGGCATTCCTGTCGAGGAGTTCCAGGGTGCCTTCCAGACGTGTCAGAATCGTCTCCGAAAGTGTATTGATGCACAAAGGAACTATTTTGAGGAATTTTAACAATTTGTACCCATAGGATCAATAAATCTATTTTCCCCAGAAAATGCGCATTACTTTCAGAACGCGCATTACTTTCAGTCTAATCGGGTGAATTCTCACTGAATTATGAAAAAAATTCTCACAAAATTATCTTAATCGAATCCGATGCTTTACATCCGGCGCTCAGTATTATTTCATATTGTTTTACAACACATGGTTTTAGCCCTCTGGTGGGAAAGACTTTAAAACAAAACTTACAACAGTTACTTTTCTCAACAACTGAAATTTAGAATAGTGTGATTAAGAAAAATATGTGAACTGTTTGCAATTAATATTGAAATGCACAGGTTTAGACTTTTCTACAGTGAAAAGTTTTCGGAACTTCAGTGTTCAAAAAAGTATACAAAAGCTAGACGTTAAGAACGTATCCAATGAGCGAGCAAAGCGAGCATCGGATTGCGAAGCAATCCGAAATGAACTGCGAAAGCAGTTCCGGGGGTTGGCGAGCGCCAGTGAGCAGGGGGCGAAGCCTCCTAGTTTATAAATAAAAAATTAACTTTCTGCTCGTAAAAAGTTGAATTTTGTAGTTATATTTCGGCGGGATGCAGAGTGATCAGCATTGTATTTTTTACTGCAAGTGTAATTCTTGAACTCAATATAATGTAACTTTAAATACATTTTAAAAGTAGTGAATAAACTAAGGATCGAGAAAGAAGGTTAAATATGAAAGATTTATTTAAACTTAAACTTTAATAAAAACTTGAAGTAAAATGCGGATTTGTAAATTGGCTTAATATTTTCTTTTAAATAATTTGTTTTATATCAAACTATAACTTATTCTATAGTATAGCAAATTTAAATTTAAAATATAAAACGCTTTGATCAATACATTTAAATACCAATACCTTTTCAAGCTCAGAGAAAAGTCAATTTAAATTTTCTCGAATGGTCTTTAGTTAATTTTAAATTAGAGTATCGTTAAATGTCACGAGAATTTAATCTAAAAGCTTATTTTAATTAAAAGTCAAAATATAAGGACATAAAATGTCATTTAAATGGAATACCTTTTAAGGTTTCGTCGTCATGCGAGTAAATCCATTATTTATCCTTCTCTTTAATCAACTTGTGAGAAGTGCTTAGCTTTAGTCAAAAATAATTTGAAAATAAAGTTAGTAATGAAAAAATTGTATAATGAATAATAAACAATATTTTTTTAGTTAAATTAAACTGCATATTTGTAAGTTAGTTTAATATTTAATTTTACTTTATATATTTTATCTCAAACTTCAATTTCTATATTATAGCAAACTATATACACCGAAGAGCCATTACATTATGACCACCCTGCTAATAACATGTAGGACCACCTTTAGCCCTCAAAACTGCTAGCACCCGCCGTGGCATTGATTCCACAAGGTGCTGATAGGTAGTCTGAGGTATCTGGTACCAAGCGCTCACCAACTGGTCCGGCAATTCCCTCACTATGCGAGGGGGTAGCATGGACCACAAATGCTTTATTGGATTAAGGTCAGGTTAATTTGGGGGCTAAGACATGACTTGAAAGTCACTGGAATGTTCCTCGACGATTCGACCCTTATGACATTGTGCATTATCCAGTTGGTAAGCACCATCCCCCGCAAGAAAAACTGCTGCCATAAATGGGTGAACCTGGTCTGCAACTATGTTCAAGTAGCTTACAGACGCCAGGGATTGTTCTATGAGGATTATGGGTCCTAATGTGCCTCATGAAAACATTGTTCCTGGTAGAGAAACCATGAAAACCTGGGCGAGCCCATTGTTATAGATGGAGGGTGGTCATAATGTAATGGCTCTTCGATGTATATGTCAGGGCTCGAAAAATCTCTACATTTTTACCTGCCTACCAGGCTTGCTAGTTGACAAAACAGGTGTCTCATTAAAACTTTCAGATCAACGGGTAAGAATGACTGGTGCGGAGTCCTGCTCATATCGCCACCATCATGTCGTTGGTAATGAAATTGTGAAGCTTTAACCTTCTTTATCCTCTTTCCCACAATGGGCTGTTGGATGCAAACTTTGCTTTTACCATTTTTAATTGCACCAAAATGATCCAACTGTATTAAACAGTTAACATAAATTCTGCTGACTATAAAATCATGTTCTGTTGGTCCCTGGAACATGCTGGGTTTCTGAGTAATTAAACTGTTGACATTCTCCCCAAAACACAACTCATACATCGAAAAATTCTCTCACGATCTCTGGACACACACATATTTGGATACACACGCATTACCCCCAGGTACCACTTGTTAAACAAATCTGCTCCCAAGTATTCTAATCACAAAGAATCGCTTATTTTAAAACATATAGCTCAGTGCTAAAAATCAAGAGATAAGCGATTTCCGTAACATCAATCCACCATTGCTTTTATAAATTGGAAATAAACAATACGATAATTTGTACTCATAATTCAAAGACATTGGGTTGCGGTTATCAATTTAGCTTTTAATTCTAAAGCAGCATCATCTTTTAAATTAAGTTGTATGTGTGGTATAACCAAAGCTGGTGCTTGTGCCAATAACTCCTAATTAAATAACTAATTAATCAAAACAATTAAACATTAAAAACAATAGGGATTTGATCCGGCAACCTTTTTTCCACGAAAGATTTGCGTGCTTTTCCATTATGCCACTAAGGTATTCTTTCGGTAGAAATTTTGTTATTTTTGTTATACGATATACGTTTTTTAATAAATTTGTTAGTGGCCTACGAATAAATACCATATTCGATTTCGGTTAAGAAAATAAAAACAGTTTTGTGCGATATAAAGATTTTATGTTACTTTGTTACACTTGATGCCATTTCCTAGTCAGATATGATCTCAGCGAAGAATTTTTTTTTCTTACCCGAATGGGAGTGTACATAAACTTCCTTATCAAAACTTCCTTATTTTATCCAAAGGTAATTTATTTCATCAAGCTCAATTTCATATGAGAGTACTAAGGTAATGAAACGAAGCGAAAGCTCTTAATCTTCTAAGTTCCCCATGTTTATCATATAAATTTAGGATAAATAGCCCATTATATTATACGAGACAAGTACCCATCACATGTCGAATATACTCCTCTTGATTGAAAATATCCAGACAATATCATATTCTGAAGTTATTTGTAATATTAATCTGATTGTCTTGCAGCTGTAGACAAGATATATAGTTTAATTGATTGCTGCAAGAGTTAAATTTGTATTAATTTATCCATTTATCCTAATATTATCATGGCCTAAGAATAATAGAAAGTTTTGTTTTGGCGAGAAATTGCAAAATTTCTTTATTTCAGAAGCTTTTAAAAATTGCTTCATCAAAGCATTCAAACCTGTTAAAATGTGAAAAGAATAAATTTTGCAAAGGGCGATCATTACTACAATAGAATAAGAAATTAGCGAACGAAAGTGGTGATGAGTATGCGTTAATCATGCTCTCTTGAGTTCCTAATCAGAGAGAAAAAAGAGCAAGAGCTAAAATGACACGGAAAACGAAAGTGCAACCTGATTTTATAACGCACGTTTCAGTGGATTGGAAGAAATCCTACCCCAAGTCAGAAATCATTGAAGCTTGGAAAAACTTTTTTTGTAAAATGCTCTTAATTGATGAAAATTTTTATAATAATTAAGATTTTTGGTTTTTAGAAGAGCTAAGTTTTTTTTTTTCTAAAAATAAATTTAAAATATCTCTAAAATCTTATAAATATTTGATTTGGCAGCTCTAGTTTTATTACTCTCCTGGAACTTGAAAATATTCCCACAATCATATGAAAAAAGAATCAACCATTCGCCTGGGTATTGAAAAATACTCATACTGAGTTCGTTTTCCGATTCCAATCATTTCACCCTCTTTTTATCGCTTTAATCTAAATTGTCTCTTTACATTTTCCTCTTGGTTGCCTAGGTACCCATAGATTATTTCCTTTCCAAAAACAATCAATACATATTCTGTGAGATAACACAAAATAGACAGAACATTTAAAAATGGAAATATCTGAGATGGGAATTTTAAGGAAAAGAAAGGTAAATTTAAACATAAAAGTATCATTTTCTGAATCTAAATGATTTCTTTCTTTAATATACAATGGAACACGATAGTTTAAATGACTGCTATCTTTCTTAACTCATTTGTGCCTAGAGTTCTTTAAAAAGGACGGATTCATTTGTCTAAGATGAAAAGTGGTAGCACACTATTAGGATTTATTTCGCATAAACAAATTAGTTCTGCATATCATAATGTATTAACAATATTAGTACCTACAATTATTTCCACTCCAGTCACATCAGCTCGTCTTGATACCCTGGAATCTTGTTTTATCCATATGAATTCCATTGTTAACGACATTAGTTCCTCATCTCGTAAATATGCCTGACTTTCTCCTCTCGGCCACTGCTTTTTCTTGTTCTGCTTTTCATCTTTTTTCTCTCTCTCGGTTAATGTGGTCTTTCTGGATTTATAGTTTTGGTTCTCCCCTTTATTTTTCCATTTTTCGCTGGCAACTTTACTTTATTTATTTGAAATCACTTTTGTTTCTTCTCATTTAGTCTGGCAAGTCTTGAAAATGGGTGCATATTTTTGAATCGCTTGAAATAAGTCGACTGCTATTTGCTATTTATTATTTTTTGAACGAATTAAGTTTGTAAACAGGTAACCTCTTATCGCTTTGATTTCGGGGGATATTTTATTTAATGGTAAGTATTTGGAAAATGGTAAGTATTTGGTCTAAAATGGCAAGTATTTGGAAAAGAAATATCCCCTTGTAAAAATAACTCTGTACTAACACTATTTTAAGTAGACATTCATATGTAAGGAACTTTTTGTGGTTAGGC